ACAATCCGCTTACTCCCAGAGTAATTATTGCCTTACCCAAGGCTAATTATCTCTTCCGTTTAAAATCCAAAATTGATATTTATTTGTTTTTATCTGCGGCTAAACTGCCTAGTTTTAAATGTATAAACCTAAATATATATAGTAAAATCTAGATACATGTATAACTACTGGTAATTTAGTCCCGTACCGTATTCTTGTTTGGGTGTGGTCACGCCATGCCTATCTGGTGTGACACATACCCCTGTTACCAGGGTCTATGTAACCCCGCTACACCCCGACTCACGTGATACTAACACCACGAGGCGTTTGGAAAACGTCGGAACCCAGTAGATGCTGTGTGGTCTGCGGGTAGTTATAAGCTCTTGTGGGTGTGATGGTAGAATCAATCATGAGGGTTTAGCCCTCAAAAGATCGTTGTTCTTCGTTAACGATACGAGTCAGAGTGGATTCCTCATGGTCACACCGAGTGTGAAGGGTTATGGTCATCCATCTAGAGTCTCGATTGACCCCGGCCCGCCACGTAACTACGCGCTGAAGCGAAGTGCTGCTGGAATGATTCAGTGCTTTCGGATGCACTAGATCGAAGCAATGACTTCATCTCAATGAAGTTTGTCACTGGTGCGGTGTCACTACAAAGAAAATTATGGTTGATGCTAACGGAAGTTCGAAGACTTCAACTCCAAGTAAGTATTCACATGGACAAACGGTATGACCTGATTTGAGATATACCGGGGCTTGAGAAGCACAAGCCATGGATCAAATGGAGATCAAAAACGATTATTATTAGCTCTCCTGGCGTAGGTGAAATTCTTGGGAATAATGAACCCACTGTATCGGAAGAAGCATTAAAGCACTCTGCAGTCGTATGCTGCTGGAATTGATCCACACTTCATTGGTATATGTTATGTATTTGACATTCCCCAGGTAAGGGAAGATACGGAGTCGTATGGAGTGGCCACGGGTGGTCACTCAGGAAGTGTGTCAATGGATGAAGTGGTGCCCGGAATCGGCTACTTGGTGGGCATGGCGATTCGCCCAACGGAAAAAA